TTTGTTCTCAGTGAATTTTGTTATTATAACTTTAGGAGATATGCACATTAAACCAGATGCTTCTCCTTAATGTGATGCTGTATAGCAAATAACAGTATTTTATCTTATTGTGGAGTTAGTTATGGCAATCCTGATCTTTTATATATATATAACCCTATTATCTAACTCGATTAGTTTTAGGTGATACAAACAACCGTTAGGTGAGCAAAACTATTATACTCTGTAGCAACAGGGTGCGAGAGTATGAATATAATATTTAGTGGTAAGAACTGGTGGGGGAAAAATAAATACGTTCATTGTGTGAGAATTTATTCATTCTGATTTAATTATGTTCTTTCTTGGCTTAATATGTATACAATTTTTAAATATATTCTCACGCGACATGAGGTTGTTTTTAATTGTACAACTCAATGGATGTGCCAGTGTGTGTTCATATGTATATACTTGTATATGAAGCCCTTCCGTGCCATATAGGGAATGGACGTGGTTACTATCCGATTTCACCAATTTTCACATCGTTTGAGGAGGTGCTGAAATGGATTAACCTCAGAAAGTTTGGTTGATATATGTTTAGAGGTTTGTGAGATATATGCATTAAGCCTATTAGGGGGCGGAGCTACAGCCAATAGCCAATAGTCCAATTGCGCTCATTATTTTTAACATTCCTAAAAATATTTTTTACGTATTACCTGCGTTTTATCAGCACTTTTTTACTTTTGGTAAAAGCTGTTTTGTTTATGCGATGACCAACGCCTTTTGTTTAATATTTCGAAGGATTCTAATACGGTCCTTATTATAAATCGCATTGAAATTGTTAAATAATTAAATTACCAGCGGGTAGAGTTCTCAATGCTTTATTGGGACCTTAACGATTGTGACCGGTTGGCTTGACACCAAACCAGAGACGAATACAATCAGCACCAAGTTACAATCAGAGAAGAGAGTCGTACACACAAGTCCTCTGACATTTATAGGAGTTCAACGGAATTCAAAATACCGTAACTTTAAGTATGCGTAAACAAAGATAATTATAAAGACAAATGAATGATAAAAGAGAGATGACGAATATAAAGCTTAGATAAGACAGTATTGCCAGATTAGAGTTGACATTATCAGAAAATAATCTTAAACTAATGTAAATAATCCTAAACAGAAATTATCTCCCAATTTCAAATAAAAGTATATTTTCTGTTTTCCGATTGGACGGTTAATTCTTTAAGATTTATCTAGAATTTCCATTTTCTTTTTTATTATTATTTTTACTTATCTACAAACTTTTGATACAAATTAAAACTTTCTAAACATTTATTTGAATACTAATTTTAAATTATTTTTCATCGATTGGACGCAAAACTGATGCAAAACTATGTTTTGGGATCGCGCCACAAAAAATCAGGCGAAAGAAACGTTAGTCGATGCTTGATTATTTATGTTTCTATTAAACTAAAAGTCGCCAAAAACCCTTACCCAGGACGGGGAGACTGTATTTCACCCTTTCAAAAATATGAAGCAAACGAAACCATGGTTAAGCAAATGATGCTTTATGGTGTATTTGTCTGATACAAGCCCCACGGTAATGCCACACTTGTTATTCAACTAGTACGTGTTCCAACAGTAGCTTTCATTGGCATCGGTGGTGCAAAACGTACAACACCAACGATGGCACTTATTGCCGTTCTATATATAGCACCCGTGGTCGTAGGTGTATTGCTGCGAAGGTCCCTATCAATCATCTGGAATCTGGGTACATTAGGGGATCTCTGTCACTTCGACTGCATTCCTGATAACCTGGACCACTTCCAGGATATAAGGTTGGGACGGAGTCGTTGAAGAAGAGGTACAGTGAGCTTTCTCATGGATGAATCGACGCTCAAGGGAGGGTTGGAGCGTGAGTCTTGAGTTGAGAGCTCTTTATCAACTCTTGCTTCAGGCTGCCAGAATACTGTATGTAGTGTCTTTCAAGCAGCAGTCGCGGCCATTAAGTTAGCAGGAGTTGTACTGCTGCGAAGTATAGCTTATTTTAGGATTTGCATTCACTCCGATATCAGAGCCGCAATACAGGCTCGCTAACAGTGCACTGGAGTTGGTCAAGGAGTGTATGACTGTATGGCACAAGATCTGGATCTCACGCGAGGTTGGCAATCGTTGGTCAGCAAGTGACTCCTGTCACAAAGATCGGCTAGTTTAATCAAATTATTGACCGTTTCCTTGAAAGGCTATATATAATACATACGTGACATATCTTGCAGCAAAGGGAGTGGAGAGCGCTACTTGCTTCTACTTGCTTTTCTTCATATAATTGTTTAAAACATCTATTTAAAACGTATGTTACACAAACTTTCACTAATAATAACTATAGTTTATAAGTTTTTATAATCTGTATTTATATATTTATAACAAGTAACGAAGGGCTATGTTCGGGTGTAACCGAACATTTCATACTCTTGCAACTTGCAAGGATCAAAGCCAGGGAAACCCCTTCAGGTGTTGACAAAACGTTATATTAAAAAATATTGCGAAAAAGTTCAACACTCATAATCCGACGAAATCGTGAATGAATAAGAATCAAATTTATTTATTGAGTTATATTATATTATATTAGTTTTATTGTTGTATTTTACTTTGCCTCAGCAAAAATTATATTAAACTCATCCTCATGTGAGATATATCTGACAAAAAACTTAACCCAAGAGGCTGAATTTAATATATCGAGTTGATGTGCAAAATGTCAACCAGAAGATCTGAATTAATAATATTAAGATATGAGACTAAGGGGGTATTCTGGTTTAGAAATTTAAATTTTTTTTTTTTTTTGGATTTTATTGTAGCATAATCCTTTAAGAATATGTCCCTAAAAAGAAATTTAAATTATTTTCGGAATTACAGCTCATTTTGTGATGCGCCAACAAAATCGACTAGCAGCTCGGCGCGAGCTTTAAAGCCGTTTTGCTCTTAACTACTTTTTTAGAAACATTGTGCATGATATCTCAAGTTCACCTAAATCGATTTACTAGAAATTTTATACAGAGCTTCTTTATACATTATACTATCGCACTACGAGAGGATTTATGGAATTTTGGAATAAACTCAAAAAACAGGGAAGTAACGAAACATATTTTTCTAACAGTCGCCATTTTGTGAAAAAAAGTTTTTTTCCGAAATCCTCTTGTAGTGCTATAACTACGTCCTTCTTCTTAAAGGATCACTCAACAATTTCCATTTCGGGTTACTGGGAATCCTGATATACTGCACACAAGGACACGCCCTTTTTTTATCAGTCCCCAATTTGCCGGCCTGGAATTTTTTGAAATTTTTGTTTTTATATTATAATTAATTCTTCTCTATCTATCAATAAAAAACATATAAAAAAATGTATGGTCAAAATATTTCTTGTTTTTTTTTACAGGTCCGAAAAAGAGCCTGAAATTCGGGCTTCTAAACCAGAATACTCCTTTAAGACTAAGATCTAGACCAACTCCATTCATGTTCAGCGATAAATCATTATTATAAGAATTGTTAGAATAACGGAAATTATTATATGTTGCACAATATAATTATTAATATTAATATTCACATATTTTCAGCATTAAATAAACTATATCCAATTTTATACGTTCAGTTAATTTTGCTAAAATATCGTACATATTGACCGATATATGGGCATAAGGCCAACCGGAAGTTTGAAAATTTTTTATTAGCTATTTGGGATATAGGTATAGTATTGACCCGATTTTATCTATTTCTATCATTACTACAAATTGTTAATAGGATCAGATACTCTCCGAGTTTTATTAAGGTACCTCACATACCATCAACAATACATAAAAAGTAAAGTAAACCGGATGTTTGAAAATCCTGATATTATTGTAGTTATATGGAGGCTAGGGTAAGTATTAACCCGATTTAATCCAGGCGCAGAGATGGACCGTAAAGAAAAAAAATACGCTCACTCAATTCAATTAAGATAACTCACACATAATATTGATATATGTATGGGGTATAAGGTCGGAAATTTGAAAATCTTTCTATTAGGTATATGGGGGCTAAAGGAAATATTGACCCGATTTATTCCATTTTTGACATACAGACTTACTATTATCTCCTTACCCTCCTAATTTCAATTATATATCTCACGGTATCTGTGGACTTGAATCGTTTTGGTCCGATTTGAACAATTTTCCGTCATAAGGTGGCACACCTCAAAGGCACCATTCATGCAAAGTTTTATCCGGATATATTAAATAATTGTTGTTTTGTACACTGGAAATTGAAGAAATCCAATGGAACTTAAAGTCGCGTTATATGGGATGTAGGCGTGGTTTTTATCCGATTTCGCACTTAGACATGGGAGCGCCAAAATAATCCGATGTACCAAATTTGGTTGGTCGGTGACTCGCGCATTGTCCAATTTTGATACCGACTCGTCTAGAGCCCTCGTTTACTATCCCGGTTGTAAGATTTATGTCTCTGGCGCATTTAGTTATTGTAGCTTTAATGGTTTAGGTGATCTGTACATTAAACCCATCATAGGGTGCTCCTTGCTTTTGCAATCCCCTGTACCAAAACTCCACGTTTATATCTTAATTTAATGCTTAGTTATGGCATTTTATAGTTTTTTGGCTAATGACGTGTTGTGGGCATGGCTGTGGTCTGATAACGTGGATCTACGAATTCGTCCTCACTTTTTTTGTCAACGAACACGTATACAAAGTTTCAATAAGATATCGGACGGACGTACAAACAGACAGTCACTCGGAATTCAATTCCAAAAATATATATAAATATAACTTTATATCTAACTGGATTATTTTTGAGTGATACAAACAGGTGAACAAACCTATTCTAGTCTGTAGCAACATGTTGCAAGAGTATAAAAATCCTAAAATACTGCATTATTAGAAAGTTAGCACACTGCGCCCAGTTTGATAAATAAAAAATATATTTCTTAAAGTAAGCACGTATTCAAAAAAAAAATTAAAATTACAATAATATAATTACAATTTTGTGAAAAATGCCAAATGGAAAATTATTTATTTATTTCATTGACAACTATTTGTATCAATTATTTTCACAATTGAAGCTCAAGTACATTCTCTTGGATTCTTATACTGACAATATTGTTTTCGCCTCTATTCGTAAATAATGTTTTCACTGTATTGAATAGATTATAACAGTATTAATTGTATACCATAACCACAGCAACGCGTAATCGGATCTACTAGTATGTACAGCTCTTTTATTGCGCATAGAATTTTAGATTTTTTTGCAGCTTTTTAATAAAACTGACAGTTATTAGTTCATTAACTATATTTTCAAATTTTATTTTCTAATGTATCATGTATGATTAAAGAAAATTATATCGTTTCTTATTTAAGTTATTACATGGAAGTTTCGGGGCGTTTGTGATCAGACTTGAACTAAATACAGACTTATTCAAAAGGAAGTTAAAAAAAAATTCTAGAAATTGTTATCTTTATAAGACTTTAAGCCTGTTATAAGTGATTGTATTTTTCCTTTTATTTCGGAAAGGTTTACATGTTTGTTTCACTGCCATTTACACAAGCAGTAGAATTACATTTACAACTATTACTTTCCAATGGTTGGTTATCTTTGCGTTCATTGACAGTAGATACATTGTAATCAGTTGAGAGCTCATGTAGAGAACAGTTTACGTTGATACTTGAGTTCACATTACTTATACAAATTGCCTCCTCAGTATTACTGCTGATAATTCTTTCAGCCGCTTCTGACGTCACAACGTTGCTGCTACATACTACATCCGTTGGTAATATATTGCTCTTACTACTACTACCTCCACTATTACTGCTCAGTGCCATCCGTTGCATTTGGCGAATAACGGTTGCTGCATAATAGGCTTGCTGAAATTAGTATGAGGAAATAGAAAATGCAGTCGTAAAATTTCACCAAAATCTACTTACTTTCCAACGAGATTTCGCGAAGTTCTTTTTAAGTTGCTCGGACACTGTACCATGAATATTTTTATTGCTCGCTGCGTTACCAGAAATCCTTGCAATAAACAACAATAAAAGCTATGGTTAGAAAATGTTCATGCATACAGATATATACATACATTTTTTTATATATTTTTATAAGAGATAAGAGCGAGAGTGTCACATGTAAAATATTTACACATTTCAATTTAGCATTGGTGTTTTTGATACCGATCAAACAAATTGTTTGAATTATACCATAAAATATATCGAATTAATCTCAAAATTATCAAAAACATAGCTATAAAACTAAAAATGTTTTTCATTTTTACTATATTTCTGCCAATCGGGCTAATTAAGCTTACTTGCAAACTTTATAACTTATTTTTAATTGAGCCACATTTGAAGCAAGTTGGTTAGATTTTAATAGTTTTGTGAACCAACGGTTATTTCGAATACCTTTAAATAATCGAAATAAATATTAGATTTTATTGCATATCAAACGGAACAGAATGGCGTAGTTTCGTTTTGTTCTGGATGTACTTGTATTTCCAACCATCTAATTTTAGGTTATGATATTAACTTATAAACTATTCGATTTTAAATAACATTGCCACATGTACTTACTGCATAATTAAGAGACATCAGTCACAAGTACATGTTAAGAGAGTATAAAAATCTTCAAGCACTACTAGCTCCAATTTTTTTATCTCAAGTTGGTACATCTGTCGTGAGAACACATGCAAAGTTACAAGTCATTCTGTCAATTAATTCATTGTTTACAAGCCATTTGAAGTTGACGTGTCAGAGAATTTCTTTAATATGGCAAAAATTGGATATCCCACAGTGATTAGATTCTTTGTTTTGAAAGGTTTAAAAGCAAAGGAAATTTATGAACAAATGTTAGAAGTGTATAAGGAGTCATCACCGTTAAATTTTGGGCTGGTGGATTTAAACGAGGTCGCACTAGGCTTGAAGATGATCCACGCGAAGGACGACCACAAACCGCAAACACCAGAAATCATTCAGCTAATTCATAATATTGCTAGTGAAGATCCAAGTTTGACTAAGTGTGAAATTGCTAACACCATAGGCATCTCCGACGAACGAGTACTTCATATTTTACATGGAGAATTACATATGAAAAAGCTGTTTGGAAAGTTAGTGCCGAACACGTTAAAAATTCAACTGGATCGAAAACAAATTTCTTAGCATAATTTGGAGAGTTTTAGGCAGAATAATAATAATACTTGGATCCATCACAATAATCCTAAATTGAAACGAGAATGTTTACAGTGGACTAAACCTGGTTGTTTAACTCCAAAGCACGTGAAGTCACAACGATCAGTAAAGAAGATATGGCATCAGTTTTTTGGGATGAAAAAAGAATTTCGTTCATTGATTATCTGCAGAAAGGTAAAACAATCAACTCTGAATATAATTGCAGCCTTTTGGATCAACTGGATGAAAAACTTCGTGAGAAAATACCTGATTTGCAGCACAAAAAAATAAATTTTTTTTCAAAGCAATGCACCTGCTTACAAAGGTGTTTTAAAAATGACAAAATTCAACGAATTGCTTGTGCATTTACCGTATACACCGGATTTGGCTCCCAGGGACTACTACCTTTTCAGAAACCAGAAACAATTATTTCGTGGAAAGCGTTTTTCGACAAATGAAGAAGCTATTACAGCCGTAGACGGGTATTTTGCAGAGCTTCCGGAGAGTTATTATACCGATGGCATAAAATTATTAGAGGATTATTAGTATTAGTGTATTGAAGTTTTATGAAGATTATATTGAATACTGAAACTTTTCAACCAACCTGTATATGTTAAATCTACCTAGGTTGGATCGAAAATTTATTTATTGAATTAATCCGTTGAATTTATAGATTATTTATCACAAATCGGAGATATTTATCACAACTTTTTAATTCTACTTGCCATTGGATAGAGTTTTCTCAATTATTATTTTAAAAAAATGGTGAGTATAGAAGTGAACTATTATTGTGATTCCGATATGATAAATTTCTATGAAAAATGTTGGTAACGCGACTTCATTGCAGCTTCAAAGCTGTTGATAAAAAGCACAAAATATGCAATATACTTATGTTTTGAAAATTCCTGGAAGTTTTTTAATATTTTCCATTTAAAAAATGTTTCCCCCAAAAAGTTAATTTTTTACAATTCCTTTTATACAAATCTCAGTATTTCAATCAGCGGTGTATAAATATTGACAGACATATAATTATTTTGTTACTTGTAGCCCTATACTTTTACAATGATCTAAAATTCCTAAGTACATGTTAACTATTTTACTTACCAAGGATGTGCCAGTGCTTGTTTACAGGTATACCGTTTATCCACGTTTACACACATTAAGTTTTGAATAAAGTTCTTAGCTGATTCGCTTATTTCATCCCAGTATGGCGAGTCAAATTCGAATTCCCCTAATGGAATAAAGATATTATAAACATATTACTGCATTTGATGAGACGGTAATGTTATAACTTATAGCTAGTGTATTAAGAACCTTATAGGAACAACCATATACCTTTGCAGATAATGCTATATGAGTGCTTTCAGCTATGACAAGCAACTAAACAAGTGTTTGTTCAAAGGAAAAGTTCAATTTAGCCTTTTTTTTTAAAGTAATCTCCTCGGATAAATACATTTGTGCCAACACTTATCCAATCCTCGAAGCCATTCTGAATGGCACGCACTTGCAGCACTTATAAACACTTTTTTGAGACAAAGTGGACTCACCGATTATAACAAAAAAAAATGTCGATAATCAAATGCACACAGCCAGCAAAAAATCAAAATTTACATTTTCCTTTGAACACACCTCGTTTAAAAATTTTAGAGGGATTCGTGCAAGATAGCAGGAAACGCAAAAATATAATATAAACGTTTGCGAAAGAAAAAAGCCTTTAATATATCAATTTTACATAACTCATGGGCTGAAAATTCCCGGGCCTAACAAAGAAAACACGGTTTGAAAATTAGTTTTAGTCATCAATAAAATCTTCATCAAGAGCAACACAATCATTCCTGCGCCGCTCTAACATTTCAATACCACTTTTGTAGAACAATTTGCCTTTTGCCTTAAAATAGTCCTCAGTTTCAGTGATAACCTCTTCATTCGAGCGAAATTTCTTACCGGCGAACACTTTTTTGAGGTCTTCGAAAAACCAATAGTCCCTAGGAGCTAAATCTGGATAATAAGGTGGATACTGCAGTAATTAAAAATGCAATTCATGCATTTTTGTCGTTGTTATGATTGCCTTCTGACACGGTGCATTGTCTTGATGAAACAATTTTTTTTCAGCCTCATTTGGACGCCCACTGTGTTTTGCAGCATTGGTGTCTCTACGACCACGATTGAAGTCAGCAAACCAACGTTTTATTGTGATTTCTGATGATGCGGAGTCCCCATAACACTTTTCAAGCCATTGCTTCGCTTGAACGGTATTTTTTCCCCATCAAGAAGCAGTGTAAAATTAAAACGCGAAACTTTTTATCATCCATTGTTTTTAAAATAACAAATGTAGCGTTACTCTTACCACAATAACTAGCAAACTAATGAATAGAATGTCATGAAATTTCAACAGCTGTCTTTTGAAGGTTAGTACTATCTGAAAATGTGGTGAGTTCAATAAAACTTGCGCCATCTATATGGGATTCTAATGATATATTTCGTCTAAATACTTTGCAGAAAGGCTGTTCGTGCTAAAATATTGCTGAGCGAGCTGAGCGCTTGGAGTAAACGAATTACGATGCCAATTGCAGTAAGTGAGTTACATTGTTTCTTCAAAATATTACCAAACTCTTAAATACTTGTGTTATTTTCAACGAAATTTCCTTTTTACCACATTTCGAAGAGGAAGAAGTTATTGCCAGTATTTATGTAAATGAATTTCTCAGCAGCTTCCAGTATAAGGTAAGCGTATGAAAAGGGAACGTGTGATCATGAAAATTCTCCTGAGATAACAAGATGTACAACTCTCATGTTACAGTTGACAGTTAAAAACTGTAACCGCCAGATTGAACAAAGGTGCGGCTAACCGAATTCAAATAATTTCTAAGAAAACTAATGCACACACATTGTAACTCATTAACCATTTAAGTCTGAAAGAGATGACCGAGCACATATTCATAAGAGTTTTGGGTAGTTTTATCAACTCGGCCTTAAGAAAATCAATGATACTGAATCTCTGGTTGAGCGGTCTGATAATTAAAGTACAATTATACCGATAGTTGACTCTCTGGAGATATTTCACAGAAGACATGTTTTTATTATATTTTATTTTCTTATTTATTTAAAATTTACTCTAAAAATTCATTTTTTCATATGAATTACATATTTCTAAAAAAAGCCAGGGGTAACTACTTTTATTTATAAATTTTTAACTGTATATTTTATTTAATTATTATATTTTTTAGTAAAAATAAAGCCTTCTCCAGTATGCCAAAAAGTCAATATTCTCACGCTACATAATCTCGTTTCTTTAATTCCTACACATAAACATACATACATACATATAATCTTCTTTACAAGAACTTAATTTTGATCGTTTAGTTTGTAAGGCAGCTATATTCTATAGTGGTCCGATATCAATGGTACAGCGTTGATGAGCAGCATGCGAAGTAAAAAAGTTTTCCATAGTTCCAATTTCAAAACGGTATCTCATAAACAGGGGAACTATTTTCCATATACATAGGCAGACGGACAGACTGACATGGCTAAATCAACTCAGCTCGTCACGATGATCATTTTTTATATATACTTTAAGGGCCTCCGACGTTGTTACTAGCTTCGTACCAAACTTAACCTGTTTAGGATATAAAAAACAAAACCGAGTCAGTATCCAATCAACACCAAAAAAATGTATAGCATTCAGGAAGCACAAAGTACTGTGAAGAAACAAATAAATAAAGTTGTTTATTTCTTAAGTAGAATCAGACGAAATAAATCAAGGTGAAGTTAAGGAAAGCATTAAAGAAAATTCACAAAATCAGGTTCTATCAAACGAAATGAATCAATAGAAGCATATTTGCAAAAAACACAGAAAATGAATTGACAAAAAATAAATAATAATAAAATCCTTATCCACAAGAGAGAAAGCAGTCGTTAGGAATTGTCGGACATTATGAAAAACTGAAATCCATATCATACAACCCAAACGTAAAAACAAATAGCCATAATGTCATACGATCATAAACAACTGCGACATTTGCAGCGGTAGCAAATTCTATCGTAATCCAATTCGAATTAAATTTAAGCTTACTGATAGACCAAAAACAATTAACGAAATAATTCACACCGAAATTAAGTATTATTAATTAGTAAAATTAGTTTATAATTTTCATCGCCAAATTTTTCAAACATTGTACATGCCTCTTATTAGCAGAAATAAGCACTAGAACAATTAACGGTAAAATTCAAGAATATTAACCACTAAAAGGACAACCTAAACTTTGATAATGAATTCAGCACAACAACTATTAAAATTTTCTTATATCAACAAGGAAAACATGTTCCCATCACAAACCCCAACATATGGGAAATACTGAAAGGTTTAGTTATAGAAAGACTTAATTATACAAATTACAGAGAAAAGCTTTGTGCACTAAATTTAGAGGAAAAAGTACCAATCAACCTTTTTACAAGGATACCTTCTGTAGTATTAAAAAATGCACAAATACTTCAGACTAAAATAAACTATCCACAAATCATAATAATTGAAAGTTTCGATATAGAAGTTGACAGATTTACAAAAGAAATTCAACAAGCTGCTTGGGATAGAACTCCGGAGATAAAGCGGAAAATTATAGTCAAATTACTCTATAGAAATTACTCTATATGACAAAAGCAACCTTAATAAAAACGAGAAATCACACATTTTAATAATGAGTCAATACACAAATATGTATCTCAACTATCGGTTGAGGAAAGAGATGATTACTCGCTCTGAAAAAGTACCAAATACTTAAACGTCTAACATGTCACGTTGTGCTAGTAAGAATTAACAGTAACACATGGGCTTGAAGTGATTGTAATTAAGCAAATGTATTCGCAACACACTTGACAGTTTTCGTCCAAATGAGAGTAGAGAAATTGCGTTTCAGTAAATCAAATTAAAACTGTTAAAGTTAAGAGAGCACCATGATTCAATCTACTGTTCATCCATTCACCCATCACATCAGTTCGGCTTCAGAAACTACCATTCAACAACAGAACCAATTCATACAATACATGCTAAATCGAAAAATTCTGGGAGAAGGGGGAAAAGTGTCCTCAGCGGTATTTCTTGATGCTGAGCGGGTGTTCGGCAAGGTATGGCACGGAGGCCTTATGGAAAAACTAAAATTATGTATTCCAGTGCATTGTGCGCTCCTAGATCCGTATATAACCTCAAGATTTTTCCGTGTAAAACAAGGGAATGAATTCTCCCAACTAAAAGATATTGAAGCAGGCATACCACAGGGAAGTATTTTAGGTTCACTCTTGTATAATCTTTACATAATGGACTTACCGTTAGACAGTATCAGTGTCACTTTTGCTGATGACTAAATCTAAATTACTTTTATACAAACCAACTATCAAGCCGTGAATAAACTCAATGAAGATTCTTAAATGTTTTACCGGTGGTGGGGGACAGAAAATACCTTCATTGAGCTGAGAAATATTTCATTCTCGCTTTTATTTAATTTTTGACGGCTTTATATACAATTTTTAAAACTATCTTAACTAACTAAATATATGTGTATGTGTGTATGTGAATATGTATGTTACTCATTGTTTATGTTACGTGATTCGTTACGTTTTCGATGTACAAGTTAGCACCAAAAAAGCTTTCCCTCCTAATAACACGAAATTCTCAAATTAAACATAAAGTGCAATATAACTCTTCACCTGAAGGCCATATTGCACGCGAAATCGAAAAGTGCTGACCAAACACCTGTTACCTGTGGGAACGGTATGTCAACCGTTTCCCATAAGCAACAGCTGCAGCGTTGCTTTAGAAGTAAAGTTTAATGTTAAGTAAGAGTAGAATTACGTTTTAGTGTAAAATCTTATACCAATGAATAAAGGATCTATGCTCGCCAAAAAATATTTTTTTTTTCTGGCAAATAAATAGAAAACAATAACTGGCGCCCGAGAAATGTTTTAAGTAGATAGCTTAAAAAAATAAGACGCATAACGGAAAAGTGTACCATAAGTAGTGCAAAACCATACATGTCTAGAAACCCGAGCAATGTTTTAAAGGATAACTTAAAAAAATAAGACACATAACGGAAAAGTGTACCATAAGTAATGCGAAATCATACGTGTCTAAAAACTCACGCAAAAACATATCGGAAAAACCGGGAGTGGTTAAAAATCACGCACAAATTAAAAGGACCATATGTAGTACGAAAAAGAAGCAGCTGAGCGGACTTCTTCCCACGAGAAGAGTGGCATCAAGGACTGAAAGAGTGCACCTTGGTACCGGAAGGAAAGAGGAAAGCGGCACGGTCACCGGCCATGAAGCGGAAGTTGATTTTAATGTAAAACATAAGTTAAGTTATTAAAAAATAATAATTAAGAATATATAAAATATTAAATATATTATTAACTGTTAAGAAACAAAAGAAATTAAGTGTTCAAAAATATATGAAAATTTTTTAGGAAAACAGAAAAACTATATTCGCGAAATTTTTAAACGAAATTAATTTAAATTTTCTGAAAAAGAAATTCTGAAATATAAAAATTCTTAAAAAAAAAGGAAACAAAAAAAAATTGTTTGAGAAATATTTAAAACAAGTTAATTCTGATTTTAAAAACAAAGACTTGTACAGTCTATAATATTGGAAAAGAAACATGTATAACAAAAAAATAACTCTGCGATTCACCATAAACGGGACCCTCCAGAGATTATTAACAAATAAATAAAGAAAAAATATATACTCATAAACAAAGACTTGTACAGTCCATAATATTATCTATAGTATTATAACTTAATTCAAAATGACTAACCTACATAACATAATTAGACCCACATTGCTAAGCAATAACCCTACACCCATTCAACAACCACTCCTAACCCTGCTTCCCAAGTATCGACCGAATTAAATCATTTAATAAAGAACATTTTAACTCAAATCCTTCAGACAGACGGACAGAAAATAATTCAATAATTTTTAAACAGTAATCCAAATCAAAGCGTTACAAACCAGACAATAGATGAACGATTTAGAAATGACATGAGTGAAATTGACAAAATTCCCGACGTGGTACGTTCATTAAGAGAGTTTTCAGGGAATGCTTCAGAATTCAGTTCCTGGAAAAAAAGCGTAAAACGTACACCGTAGAGAACGCCCGATATTTTGGTATACTGAATGTTATTAGAAACAATATAATAGGGAAAGCAGACATAGCCCTAGAATCGTACAACACACCTCTATACTCGACGGCAATATCTCGTTGCCTAACAACCCACTATGCTGACAAACGAGACATAGGTACATTGGAATACCAAATGACCTGTCTTGTACAAGGTAGATTATCCATCAACGAATTCTACCAAAAAGTATATTCGCATCTATCCTTAATTCTTAACAAAATAGGATGCATGGAGGTAGGAGAAGAAGCAGTACATCTACTGACAGAAAACTATCGTGCTAAAGCACTAGATACCTTTATTAGAGGACTCTCAGGAGATCTCTCTAGACTTCTTAGAATTAGAGAACTAAAAAGTCTTCCCGAAGCCTACATCTTTGTTTGAAACTCGAAAATCAAAGTTTCAGAGCACAATAATGCCAATAACCAAAAATACAATTTACCACCACCCTCTCGACAACAACAATTCGTTCAATTAAAATATTTCCAAGCACAATATAGTCAAACAACAAACCAAAAATTCCTCCAAAATAAATTCCATCCCGAACTAGCTCACATTCCAAAACCAAATCAAAATTTCAATCTTTACAACCGTTTTCAAAATAACAATTTATTCAACCAACAACAACAAAAATCACCGCACCCAACACCACCGAAACCTCCTCAGCCAATGGAGGTAGATGTTAGTTTAAGAACGAACGCTATAAACTATACAAACCGACCAGGACCTCAAGAATTCGGCAAAAGACCATATCAGACATCTATAAGCAACCACCCAATTCCCACAACAGCCGGTTCTGCGATACCGGAATTGACCCGGATTTTATCCGGCCAAGGGCTGTTATTTCGGCGATCTAACCCTGTTTGGATCAGTAAGTTTTAGATTAGGTTTGTCGTCATTGGAGCAACGCCTAGCAGCAGGGTTGCTCCGTATCCTCCTGACCCGTGCTGGCATCGAGTCCAACCCGGGCCCCGAGGAATTCTACTGCTGCGTATCCG